AACCCATTTGTTCCATGACATTAAAGGCTGCTAGTTTTTATTAATGAGATCCAAAAGCAAGAAAGTGTTCCTGGCTGGGCACAGTGGCACAAGCCTATAATCCCAGCAGCTCGGGAGGCTGAGGCAGGAGGATCACGAGTTCAAAGTCAGTCTCAATAATAGCAAGGTACTAAGCAACTCAGTGAGACCCTGTCTCTAAATAAAATACAAAATAGGGCTGGGATGTGGCTCAGTGGTCACGTGTCCCTGAGTTCAATCCCCGGTACCCAAAAAAAAAGAAAGTGTTCCTCAGCATGTCCAGGCTGAAGTAAGAGCAATCTTGCCACTAGGGCCATGCTATCTAGCATACTTCTGGTATACAGGAATCTGCATAGGAAAAAACACCACTTGAGGTTTCTGGTAAAACCTAATAGAAGAAACATAGCATAAATTCTGGAACAAGGCCATGCCATCTATAGTAGAGCAATACCCAACATACAAAACATAACTCCTGGCATGTTACTGAACCCTGGTAAAGTTGGAGCATCTGACCATAGACTATCAAAAGATCATGTTGCCAAAACTACCTATCATGAGCTAGGTACCGTCAAACCTACCAAGTCATAATGCACATTACAAAATGGAAGTGGTATATCTGGGGTCAAACACAAGCAGGGCAATAGAGCATCACAAAGCCTACGTCAGAGGGTATAGACTCCCAGGTGACCTTTAACTCTTGCACCAATGACTCTGTACCAATGACTCTCCATCAGTTCACACCTTTGACCAAATGACGAAGTGAAAAGAAAAAAAAAAATGAGTGTGTTCACAGATGGTCAGTTTGGTAAGTCAGAACCAGTTAAAATGGACTGCTGCTGCATGAAAACCCCACTCAGGGGTAGCCTTTAAAGAAAGCCATAAAGAGACATCTTTCCAACAGGTAGAGTTTTGAGCAGTCACCTGACCATCTATTTTGTATGGAAAGGGAAACATTACAAGATAATTATAGGTGTGGATTCGTAGGCAGTGGTGATGGCTTAGCTGGCACGACAGAGTCTATAAAGGGTAATATTGGAAGACTGAGAAGGAGTTCTGGGGAAGAAACACGTGGATCAACCAGTAAGAATGGGCATAAAGTGTGAGATCTTTAGGTTGCACAGCAACATAGGCCACACAGTGTCCACTTGAAAGAGATACTACACAACACATGGACAGGCTGACTTGGCCAGTTGAGGTTAGCAATTCTGTCCTTAGCCACCCAGTGGCGACAGCAGCAGACTCAGCAATGAAGTAACCATGGTGTCAGAGATGAAGGCTATACACAGGTTCCCAGTCAGACACGGGTGTGGGGAGTTTCAATAAGAGTGAGGAAAAATGAGTACAAAGTGGAGTGAAGCAGGAAAAGACTGTCAGAGATGAAGTCAGAGACTTCTCAAAGTCCTACAGACCAGATAAAAGGACACTGGCTTTAAGTCAGAGTGAAGTGGGAAACCATGGGGAGGTTTTAACACACAACTGCTGAATGCGGAGGGCCAACACAATGTGAGGACTAGCTCCATCTCTTTAAAGGGAAGACCATCATACTTTAAAGAGATCAGACTCCATCTTGGCCTTCCTTGAGGAAAGGCTTCAATGGTAATGTTTCTTCAATTAGAAGAAAAGCCCACCAGGTTTAGCAGTGGCTGCTATAATGCAGTCCAAGTAACTCCCTGAACCTAAACAAGTAATTTAATCTCAAAATGGAAAGAGGAAAGACACTTGATTAGAGAGGTAGTATGATGGAAATGAAGAATACAGGCATAGATATTTGCAGCAATGTGGATGGAACTGGAAGACATTATAAATAAACGAACCAGGCACCAAAAGACGAATGCCACATGATGTCACTCATATGCAGAGCTTGAAATTGATTTCACAGAAGTACAGGGGAGAACAATAGTCACTAGAAGCTAGGAAGGGAAGGGAAAGGGAAAATAGAGTTGGATAACCAGTACCAAAATACATTAGATAGGAGGAATCAATTCTAGTATTCTACAGCACAGTAGGGGGTCACAGTTTACAACAACTTAGTACATATTTATAAAGAATTAGAGGCGAGAGGGCTGGGGTTATGGCTCAGTGGTAGAGCACTTGCCTGGCACGTGTGAGGCACTGGGTTTGATCCTCAGCACCATACAAAAATAAATAAATAAAATGAAGGTATTGTGTCCATCTACAACAACAACAACAAATATATATATATATATATATATATATATACACACACATATATATGTATGTTTTTTTAAGAGCTAGAGGAGAGGAATTCAAAGACTCTAATACAAAGACATTAAAAATGTTTAAGGAGATGGAAATGCTAATTGTCCTGATTTCATCATTTAACATTGTATCAAATTATCACTCTATTCCATAAATATATGCAATTATTATTTGTCAATGAAAAATAAACTAAAAACAAAAATATGGGCATAGAACATCTGGTTTGAAACCCAGCTCTGCGGTTTACAAGCCCCGTGACCTTGCACAAGTTACTTAACCTCTCTGTATCTTGGTTTCCTCATCTATAAAATTATAATAGTCCTGTGTTCGTGGGTTTTTAACAGAATTAAATGGATTACAGTGTCTGTATTATGCTATGTTTTTGCCATTATTATTTTTCACACACAAGCAATCAAAATTTATCCATATTGTCATTGAAGTTGAACAAATCTGCAAGTCCATTTATGGGCATTCATTTCCAGGTTCAATGCCTTCTGTGTCATCTATGTATTCTAATACTACACTTTGGAATATTATCCTATACTTCTGAACTATTACTGGGCCTTTAGCTGATTCCTTGTTCAACTGCTTCTTATCAATGACTTTTCTCCAGGAAAGCTAACAATGCCTGACTGTAATCACCCCATACAAATCAGGAAACAGTTCTTTTTGGGTTTTTGTTGTTGTTGTTGTTGTTGCTGATGTTGCTGTTGTTGTTGTTGGTGGTGGTGGTGGTGATTTGTTTGTTTTGAACATTGGATTCTGTCAACTGATCTTATGTGAAAATCAAAGAGGTAAAGTGGAAAATCCCACTTGGCAGGGCACTTTGCATGTAATTATCTTAAAGACTTAAAATTCACACCAAATGCAGGGTACAGCGAATTGTGGTGTTCTGCTAAAATACCACTAGAACTGAGGATCAACTTGGATGGTCAGTCAAGTAATGTCTAATTTTCCTTCCTCAGCTGATAATTTCTACCTAGAGATTACTGAAAGAAAAGATTCTGGTTCAGCTTTGTTTTTCTCTAAAGTCATTCCATAATTACTACAGCAACGACAATATCTAGCCTTCATTTAGTGTTCAGTGCCTTCTCTGCCTCAAGCATTTTGCTAGTCACTTCTTTTATTGTCCTGTGATGCAATTCAGAGGAAACTGCTCAAAGAGCCTAGACACATAGCTCGATTTTGGGCTGAGGTCACACAACTTGGAAATTACTAATTTTGTTATATCCCTAAGCAAATCTATTTGGTAAACAGAGATCTTGGTGTGTATTATCTAAACAAACATAGTAAAACCAGTGCTTAGGTAAATCTCCTATTTGAAAAAGCAATTAAATTTCAAAAAAACAATTAAACTGCAGTTTCAAAAGAAAATTACTAAATTTTTTTGTTTTGGGGGTTTGTTTGGCAAATCATGGTTTTTATTCCTGACTCTGCCAGATTCCTTTGTCATTGTTTGAATAAGCCAATTAAGCCATTGTGCCTTCTTTTTGCATTTCTAATCAAGTGAAAGCCACACAATAAGATGTTACCTGGGGAGTGTTCAACAGAAGGATAAAGCACTCTTTTAAAAAAATGTTATTATAATCATCTTCTATATTTGATTGGTTTGTGGTGCAGTCACTGAGCGAGGTTTTCACCTCTATGTGATAATTCTGCGTAGCTGATCAAAGTCTTTTTGTTTTTAATTACTAAAGTCTAATGAACCCAACGTCATTCTCTTCTTACCAAAGCTCATCAAGAGTGATACAGTGAAATATTTAACTCCAACAGGAGCATGTATGTTATAAAACACAAAACATACAATCTCAGAAATAGGTTGCTGAGAAATAATCCTTTAAATGTAAAAGTTTTTAAATTTAAGAGAGAACATAGAAAAGTTAAAAGGAAATGCCCAGTGACATTTTCCTTCACCAGGATTAGAAATAATTACTCAAACACATAAAAAGCTTATAAAGGGTACTTCTCACATATACTTATATCAAAGAGATGAAGGAGTCATTCTACTTTACACATAAGGACTACTGATTAATTCATCTATAAAACCTGAGATGACATTTACTACATCTATAAAATTTAACAAATTAAAATGTCACATCAATACACCCACTTATGGAAAATGCTCCTGCCAATAATAATATATTTTCCTTTAAAAATATTTACTTTGGGTATGGACTAAAATCTCATTCAGTTATATGATAGTACTGAACATTTCCCACTGCTACATGTAAGATCTTCTGCTTTAATGAATATTAAATATTTTAAGTGACCTTCTTCAAACTACTGTGTAACTGTCTTTCTCTTTGAAAACTATACAATCAGGAACCACTTTACATATTTTCTATAATAAGCTAACAAAATTATAAATATTTAATTTTCATGTATAGTGAAAACCAAAGTGGAAAACAATGTATTTCAGCTCAAAGCATAATTTACAATTGTTATTACCACTGAATTAACACGAAATATTGTCTCCCTAATTCAATGCCAAACATACCATATGTAACATTACCATTACCAGTAAGTGCTAATCCTGCTGGATAAACAATACTTGTCTTGATATTTCCTAATTCAACCCAATACTTTTCATGCATCTCCCACACTCCCTTTCTGGCACAGAATATTGATTCTAGAAGAGGGGTCCAGAAGCCATCAAATCTGACCCATATCCTCCTCATTAAAATGTGGTTTATAAACATGATACAAAGTTGGCACTGTGATGCTACTCAGAAATAAACCTAAAGTTTACATTCAAACTTTACCTTTGTAAAATCCCCAGCGAATCTCCCACAGCATTCTTCACTCCTTCCTTTCCAGGTTTCAAAATTTTTTCTTTGAAGGTATCAAATACTTTAAAAGGCATTTTGAATTGCGGGGGCACCTATGAGCCGTTAATAATAGTCAGTCTCAGAAACTGTCATTCTTTCTCATTTCTAGCATACGGAGCACTGTTTCACTTGATGAACACCTGGAAGTCAGTTCTCATAGAGGGAACTACTTAAAATCAAAAAGAAGATGAAACCCAACCCAGATTCTCCGAGCAGAGACAACCCTCTCCTCTCCCTCCACAATTAAAAAAAAAAAAAAAAAGGAGGCCCAGGGGTTTCTAGCTGGGAATTCAGCCCCTTGCAAAAGCTACAAGCTCAGCAGCAGCCTGTGGCCGCTGTCTCAGGCAGCCACTCAAACTGAGCGCAGCCTCTCTCCCTCCCTGGCTGCAGCTGGAGAAGCTAACGTGGGCTCCAGCCTACAAGGGGTCCCCAGACGGGCAGCAGCATCTGTGGTTGGGCTCCGGCCCCTCCTGCTTCTCTCCAGCTTGCCTGTGGCTCTCTCCGAGTGATCCTTCCCCAGGTAATGCTATAGTAACCAGCACGACACCTGCCCCTCCGCCACCCAGGCTTATTAATGGGCTCTCAGCCAGAGCAGGCACCCACAGTGAAGTTTATGAAACATTTAAAAGTCCTCTGCTTTTCTGAAGTCTGGCACTGCAGACAGGCTCCCAGCCACCACTTCATGACTTTTATTCTCCTTGTGGGAGCTGTGAAACTGTTCTCAGCCGGGCACTAGCATGGATGTGGTCTCTGGAGGAGCACTTGCACTTGAGTAGGGTGAATGCAAACCCCAAGCCACAACCATCTAGGGGACATTTATTTGCTCCTCATTTACAGAGCAGATTCTCTCAAGGTGTGGCACACAGATGCCATTAGACCATGTGATTGAGAGATCTGAGATCTGCTTAGAATTAAGCATTGGCTCCTCATTGTCCTCCTTATAAATAAACCCTTCTCATAGCACCTAAGGCCCCTCCATGGAACCCTAAGCCTTTTTTCTTGTCCCTCTGCTCTCAGTAGCACAACTTCATTGAACTTAGCAAGTTCCCTGTTGCCTCTCAGGTTTCTTAAGCTATACCCCTGCCTTGGTGAACCCTCTTCCCCCTTCCCCTGGGTAGCCTCTGGAGATTTTCAAGTCTCACAGAAATATCGCTTCCTCTTCAAAGCCTCATAGACAAGGTGAGGTGTCCCTCCCCTGCACCTACAAATCTCCTGTCCTTGGCTCTGGCAAGACCTGACTGGTAACCTATATAAATAGCTACTGGACTGGAGTTGAAATATCAGGTTGCTCCCACATATATGGGCTGTAGAGTGAAGGCTCCATCAATGATCCTGCCAGGAAGAAACAGCCTTTATCTAAGGAGCTCCAATGCTCCACCCCTGCCCCAATGAGAATCATGTGCTGTGCCTACTGAGCTCTTTCCATGGTCCAATATTAAAGGATTAACACAACCTTCTTATCGTTGATTTGTAGTCCATAACTTTTTATTTCCCTCAAATTAATTGACAAGAAACTGAGGCAAAGAGAAATTAGACTTGTCGGAGATCACACAACCAGGAAGTAGCAAGCCAGGTTTCAGATCTAAAACTCCCTGTTTTCTTTTTTTCTCTTTCTTTCTCTCACTCTTCCTCCCTCCCTCTCTCCTCCCTCCTTCTTACCTACCATCACTTTACTGAAGTATATTTTACATTTCATATAATTATTTCGAGCAGACAATTCAAATAATTTTTCATAAATTTACCAAGCTGTACAATCATAACCATGAAGCACTTTGAGAACATTTCTATCACCCTAATAAGATACTGTATATTCACCATCCATTCCATTTACTACCCCTTAACTTGCCCCAGGCAACCACTAATCTACTTTCTGTCTCGATAGATTTGCCTTTTCTGGCCATTTCATATAAATACTACTACGTAATATATGGTCTCTTGTAGCTGGCTTCTCTGATAACTTAATGAATTAAAAAAAAAAGCTGTGGTGAACATTTGCATCCAAGTTTTTATGGGGACATATGCTTTCATTTCTCTTCGGGTAAATAGCTAGGATTGGAATTTCTGGATAATATTGTAAATATATATTTAACTTTTTAAGAAACTGCCAAATTATTTGCCAAAGTGGCTGCACTATTTTGCATTTCCACCAGCATGTATAAAGGTTCTCATTTCTCCACATCTTTGATGATATTTGTTTTCTGTCATTTTTAGTATACCCTTTCTAGTGGGTGTGATAATGACATCTCACTATGGTTTTAATTTGCATTTGCCTGATGACTACTTTGACTGTATTTCCATATGCTTACTAACCATCCAAATTTGTTGATGAAATTTTTATTCAAATATTTTTAACATTTTTAAATGGGTTTTCTCTGCTCATTATTGAGGTATATGATTATATATTCTGGATATAATTCATCAGATATGTGTTTTGCAAATATTTTCTCCCAGTCTGCTGTTTGTCTTCTCATTTTCTTCTGTTTTTAAGTGCAAAATTTTTGAATTTTGATGTCAAATTTACTCATTTCTTCCTTGATGAACTGTGTTTTTATTGTTATAATTAAAAACTCTTTATCTAACCTGATGCCTCAAAAGTTTTCTCCTAACTTTTATTGTTTTAGAACCTATATTTGCCTATAATTCATTTTCAGTTCATTTTTATGCATGGTGTGAGATAAAAGACTGTCTAAGTTCATCATGAAGATATCCAATTGTCCTATCATTGTTAAAAATGCTATTCTTTCTCCAATGAATTGCCTTGGCATCTTTGTCAAAAATCAATTGAACAAAAATATAAAGATTTATTTTTGGACTTTCAGTTCTGTTCCATTGATCTCTATGTCTATTATTATGACAGTATTATGCCATCTTGACTATAGCTTCATAGTAATTTTTAAAATTAGAAAATGAAAAGTCCTCTAACTTTGCTCTTTTTAAAAAACTGCTTTGGCTATTCTAGATCTTTTGCATTTTGCATAAAAATTTTAGGAATAATTTGTCAGTGTCTACACAAAATATCCCGTCAAGCCTTGTGCTCTTAAAATGATGCTTTTTTGGTCACCAATCTTGCCAACATAACTCTTTAAGACCTTAGGAAACCACATGTCAATCATTCCACCAAATCTTTACTTATCTCCAACAAGCTCACACATTTGTAGAAAGCAGATACAATCACAATAAAATACAATAAACACACCCTCTTGCTTAGAAAACATCCACTGATGGAGGTTTTAACCCATTCCTCAATTCCCAGATACATTTAGGTTCTTTATCTCTTACCACACATAATAGAAGCATTGCTAGGCAACAACCTCATCCATCTCTAAGGGTGAATGGTTGCTGAGAAAACTAAGCATTTCTACAGAATATATTGCTCATGAAACATACCTAGTGCTACAGTTTCTTGGTGATAGATGGTTGATAATAATCACTAAGATTTTTGGAGCACTTTCTAGGTACAACAAGTGCCATCATTATATCATCTACAGATAAGAAAACTGGGACCCAGAGAGGTTAAGTAAGCTCATAAGCTAAGAAACCTAACAGAGATGGCATATGGACCTAAGAAGTCTGACATCAGAATCTATACTCAACTTTTACACTACAGCTGCTGATGAAAGACCAGAAAATATAAAGTCAGTGCTATGGTTTGGATCTGGAATGTTCCCCCAATGGTCCATGTGGTAAAGGATTGCTTCCCAACTGGTGCTATTAGAAGGTGCTGGAGCCTTTAGGATGTCGGAGCTAAATGGGAGATCTTTAGGTGACTAGAGGGATGCCCTTGAAGGGGATTGTGGAACCCTGTTCATTTCCTCTTTTCTTTCATTTCCCAGCCATGAGGCCAGTAGCTCTGCCCCTCTACATGTTCCCACAGGCCCATAGCAACTGGGCCAATTGATTACTGATGAAAATCTGGAAAACTATGAGCCAAAATAAACCTTATTTCTTTAAAAGCTGGTTATATTACATATTTGTTATAGTAATGGAAAGTTGACAAATACAATCAAACTTTACAGAACCAAGACTCGTTTCATTCATTGATCCTTTTTTTTTTTTTTTTTTTTTTTCCCCATTAGGTACTATGGATTGAATACAAAGGACATTTTACCAAGGAGCTACATCCTCAGATCTTTTTATTTTTTCATTCTGAGACAGGGTCCAAGTTGCCCAGGCTGGCCTGGAACTTGTAATCCTCCTGCCTCAGCCTCCCTAGTCACAGGGATTACAGGTGTGTGTAATACACCACTACTCCTGGCTCTTTTCTTGAGGTTCTACTAGATGCCAGGCCCTTTTTAGGCAATGATGTTACAGGGTGAATTGCAATAAAAAAAGTAAAACAGAAAACAAATGAGTCGATCAGAGTGCAGTGGGTACCCCTGTGGTGATATTATGATATAGGTGGCTATGGGAGTATAAGCAAGGATGCCAACTTAGCCTGCAGAAGGGAGTGGAAGAGGTTCTTCCAAGATGAGAAGGTAGGAGTGTAAGCTTTTGGGATAAGACAGAGTGAGACAAAAGAAGAACATGAGAAACAGACATGCTTAAGACAGCATGGCATCTGGGAACCTTGCTTGGTAGGTTGAAAACACTCCAGAGAACAAGGCTGAAGTGATGACCTTGAATGTATAATCCAGTTGTTGCAGGAAAACATTAAAACATGTGTGCTTCATCTCAAATATCAAATGTAGCAAGATGGAGGAAGTTATGTGTAGTGAAGAATTTACTGAGGACTCTGAAACAAAAAACTTGGTCCCTACTAAGAATGTGAAGACTTCATATACATTAGAAAAAAGTCCAGCCCCTGCTGTATATTTCATGGCTTCCCTACATTCTATACCAAAAGAAAGGAAGGAAGGAAGGAAGAAAGCAATCCATTTCCCTTAAAGAACATATACTAAGCCAGGCATAGGGGCACTTGACTATAATCCCAGTGACTTGGTAGGCTGAGGCAAGAGAATCCTGAGTTCGAGGCCAGCCTGAGCAATTTAGTGAAACCCTAAGCAATTTAGCGAGACCCTGTCTCAAAATAAAAAGT